TCATTGTAATTTAGGAATAGAATCACGTTGGTGTTTGAATCGTGTTCGCGATCTTTAACGATCTATTAAATTAAAGTACTTTGTCTTGTTGGTGGTGACACCTCTCTTCTCTTGCAACATGTTTAGCCATCACAGATATTATACTTAGATTTTTTGGCTTCTGATCGCAAATGTAGCCAAACTTTGGAGCGCTTAGATGTCACTGCCAAAACTTTTGACCATGACTGTACTTGGAAAAAAGAAAAAAGAAAGAATAATGTTAAATTAAAAAAATATATATATATATATTTCAGCTAGTTGCCAAGTCAACAATTCTCATTTTTACTTAGTTTAACTATAAAGTTAAAGTTTAGTTAATAAAATAAATAATAAAGAAAAAAGTTAACTAAAACTAATACATAAAAACTATATAGATATATATTAAAAAAAACACATAAAATGACAAAAATACTAAAACCTATAGCTAATATTAAAGTGAAAAAAATATATAAAAATAAAATCTATAGTACATCAATTATAAAAACTACAGTTCATTAATTATAATTATAATATAAAATAACACTGCTTCTGTGTTACCTTGGATGATGTGATATCTGTAAGAATGGTATCTCCCAAAAAATATAATCCCAAAAAGTAAAAATCACCATTAGAAAGAAATCAGTCAGACAGAAATGTCTCATCGCTGCTATATGCATTGACCCCGTCACTCTGTACTATAACAGAATGAAACCCTCAGCTGTTCTAAAGCAGTTAAGAGCGCAGGCCTCTGCCAATCAATAGTAATAATAACAGGGAAAAATGTCACCATGTCACAACATGGCCTAAAAGTGGTGCAGGATAATTCCCCTAATGAGTAGCCCAGAGGAGACAGACCCTGAGGCCTGGCGGATCTGAATAAATCCACATTCCACTCATCATGTCCAGGCTTAATAATATATACCTGACAATTCCAGTGCTCTGGTTGGACTGCACTTTAGGTAGGAGAAACTGGATCTTCTTTACCAAATTTCTTAATGCAATTTTTGACAGAGTCATCATGGTAACATACAAATATTCACCCATGCAGGCAAAACATTAATGTACAGTATAAACGCAAGCCATCACAGTCAACAATCGTCTATCAATATCAGATTACAAGACTGACAATGGAACAAAGATTCAGATTTTAGTAAAGACGATACAATAGAGATAAACAATACATATAATTCAACACTATCAAATCAAAGGGCTGTATAAATAGATATCTACAATGTTGAATAAAATAAAGCATAGGTGGTAAATAAATAGTTAGTTAACAATATTCTACGACTACACTACCACCCAAAAGCTTGGGGTCAAGACTTTTTTTTTATGTTTTGCAAGTCTCTCAATGCTGGATTTATTTGATTAAAGAACATTAAGAACTTTAACATTCTGTTTTCTGATTTAATAGATTTTAAAATGTAATTTATTCCTGTGATGGCATCTGAATTTTCAGCAGTCATTACTCCAGGTCTTCAGTTCTTCAGTATCACGTGATCCTTCAGAAATCATTCTAATATGCTGATCTGGTGCTTAAAAAAAACAGTTATTATTAGCAATGTTGAAAACTATTTTGTTGCTTAATATTTTTGGTGGAAACCATCAAATTAAATTAGGGCTGTGCAAAAAATCGAATGCGATTTAGTAAATGCCGCTTCATCTAAAGCCGCTCCTGTGATTAGTAGTAAATCTCCAGCAGACGAGATGCGCATGAAAATCGCATTCGATTTTTTGCACAGCCCTAAATTAAATTCTTTACAAAAAATCTTAGTGACCCCAATTTATTTAACAATATATTCCAGGCTCAGAACAAAAAACTCAATCAACAGCATTTGAAGCATTAATGTTGATTAAAATTCATTTTGACACTTGTCTTCTTTAAAAAAGGCAAATATATAGGTTTCTGTTAAGCACTTAAGACTGAAGTGAATGGGGCCAATTTGTTAAATAGTATTATAGCCACAAGATAAAAACAATATGCATGAAACTTGACTTTAGTGTTAAAAAAACTGATTCACCTTTTCTCTATGAAGTTATAATCAATTTTACAAATCTGGTGCCATGACAACACAACACCCTAAATTAAAATGACTAGGGTTGTGACGGTGAGGACATTTTCCCACCGGTTAATCGACGTGTGACAACACCGGTAATACCGGTATCACCGCGGGGCGTTCCTTCTTTTCCTCGCTTTCCTTCGCTTTTAAATAGCTTGTAAAAGCTGTGCGAAAAGTGCCGTGTGCATTTTACTTTCACTTTTGAATTAGCGCCAGTTCGGCGTCAATTGCTTGAATGCAACAACCAAATACAATGTCAAACTCACTTTAGCGTATATATAAAACATAGAACTTTTATTAACAAAACAAATAAAAATACACCATGCTATAGGGCAAGCTATGCCTAATATAAAATAACAAATAACTTAGCCTACATAAAGTTTAATAGGTATACAAAACTGGAAATAAGTAAACATGTATAATATAAAACCAAATAAATAAGAAACGTAGAACGTTTATTAGCAAAACGAATGTCAAATAAAATAAATAAATGACACAGTTTAAATAAAGTAAAAATCAGCAAACAATGTGGAACCAATTAAATAAGAAACGAATGTTTAAAAAAACTTCCAAAATCACCTTAGATAAACGGCAAAAGTCAACAGGCTTTTCAAAATCCAAAATATTGCCAAACAAGCACTTTTGCATTTCGTTTCGAAACTAAATCATCCGCGATCATCTTGTCTGTCTCACCTCACCTCACTCTTCTTGTCAGTCAGCTCGACTCACTCTCCTCACTGGAGAAATGCAATCTGATAAATTATTTTTATTACTATAAAAAATCAAAACGACGGTGGGTGTCGGTGACGCGGTGGGCAAGTGACGTAACTGGTGTCACCGTCAACACCGTCTATCGCGGCAAGCCTAAAAATGACTATAAAAATTATGATTTAAAGGGGTCATATGATGCGATTTTAAGTTTTCATTCCTCTTTGGAGTGTTACAAGCTGTTCGTGAATAGATAAGATCCCTAAAGTTGCAAAGACAAAAGTCTCAAACCCAAAGAGACATTCTTTATAAAAGAGTTAACCACGCCCTCCTAAAATGCCTCGTTTAAACACGCCCCCACATGTCTACATCACTATGTGGGAAGATTTGCACAGCGCCGCCCAAATGCTCACGCAAAGAAGGAAGGCGTAACTTTTATTCTCGCTGTAGTATTGTTGCTGCCGCCGCCATGTCGTGGAGACGCTGTGTGTTTCGTTGTGAAAGCGAAACTACTTTGTTTGGCCTTCCAAAAGAGGACACAACTAGAAATCAGTGTTTAAGTTGTATTTACAACACCAAATACACAAAATCATGTTCTTTTTTAGCAACGTCATATGACCTCTTTAAACACATTCACTTCTATTGTAAGTGCCTCATGTTGGCTGAACACTCAAAACATCAAGTTAATTTTTCAAAAACATACATCAATGCTGTTTAACATCAACATATAAGCAACATTCGCTGTGCCTGCCTGCATGGTAGATCATTCCAATATCAACAGCGGACCAAAGCTATGTTGAGACTTGTCAAATACACAGGAATTTGTCCTAAACAAATGTTGCAATGCATTACACATAACCTACATATAGCAAACAACATTTAAAAACTAATAAATTACACGGATAAACAACATCAAACCACCACGTAAAAGAGCACAACGAGCTAAAGACACTATCATTATATAATTTCCTAAACCTAAATAACAAACCAAAACATTCTTTAAAACATTGCATGATCGTGTACATTAAGCAATGATAAAATGGCTATTCACACAGGCACAACTATTTTATTTAGTGTTTAAGGACAGATTTTTAAGGCTGACCGAAATACACCACCATACAAAAACATAGCCTCAAGCGCAGCTCTGCACCAAGCCAAGCCTCCTGGAGTTCTTCCGATCACATTTGCAATGGAAATATGAAATATGGCTTTAGGTGGCCCTACACCACCCTGAAGCAGATAAAAAAAAAACGTTGTTTTATAGATGATATCATATATGAGTACACAATGTAATGTTTTCAAATGAGATGCGCCTTCACCTGGATGCGCTTTTATATATAAATGTGTATGTGTGTGACATGAGCTCTCCAACCCTAAAATGCCTGTCAGAAACTCTCTTCCTGACTTGGAGCAGCTTCTAAATAATGAATGATTACCATTACACAATGGCCAGTGATTAATGTCAGCACTATAACAAAGAACCACGTACCTGCACTGGCACAGCTTAGAAAACTCCAGAACTGCATGGTGTATTTCCATGTACCTTCCCAGACTCTTTCCTCAGCTCTCCTTACCTGAGCTAATGACGTACCGTTACAGAATACCTGCAGAGGTTCCTGACGCCCACACATACACACGCCTAGAGAAGCCCCGCCCACAATATAACGTTGCTCTGATAGGTCAACGTCCATGAAAAGCAGGTGAAGAGCAAACACACACTAGTCACAGCGAGTGACTCATTTCCGTGAATCGGTTCTCTCGAACAGTTCGTTCCAAACAGCTGGTTCAGCAGGTCTTTACGTCATCAATGTTATGTTATTTAGACTTCATGTGTTTTTATAAAATTATATTTTAAAACCAACTCGGTTTCGTATGTGTGTTTATAAAAATGTATCTAATTCGTGAACTAATTGTTCAGACAAGTTGTGGGAGGCAGTTGAACAGATTCAGTAGAAAGAGCCACCTCAAAAGAACGATTCGTTCACGAATTTCTAACCCAAGTCAACAAAAAAGCAGCAGAAGAATAAAACCTTGATAAGTGATCGAGAATGTGATACGGTTGTCTTGCTCACCTTGCTAATTTTTTGTATTCCAGTATGATTTTTATTTTCAGTGAAATCATGAATGAAAACAACCAGTCGACTAATTATCAACCCCCAATTGATATTAAACACCACCCTTATGTTTCCGAAATATTAGGCTACCTGAAGCAGGTGACTAGCCTACTGTACCTAATAATAAACTGCCTATATAACCAGCACTAGTGTTCATTAAGTGAAAATATTTGCACTTGATACATAATATTGGTAGAAAGCATCAAAGACAAATGCTACTAATAAATCTTGCCCGCGCACTAAACTTGCATTGTTTGTCTTTTGTTATTGCTTTCAGTTCACCATGTGAACAGAAACTGTCTGACAACGAACGATACACAGCCCCTAACGCAACACTTAACTCAGCATAACAACCCAGCAGCGAACAAGACATATTTATACCGGGTTATTAAACATGCAGATTGGTGTTACATTTGACACGACGC